GGGGAGAGAGAGAGAGAGAGAGAGAGAGAGAGAGAGAGAGAGAGAGAGAGAGAGAGAGAGAGAGAGAGAGAGAGAGAGAGAGAGAGAGAGATGGGTACACGTGGCCGCTGTGCGTTGGGAGACGAGGTTGTGAGTGCAGCACGAGACATACCTGGTGCTGGAAGCATGCGACATTGGTCGCCATATGCTCGCACTTTGGGAATGCTGATGATGCCATCTTTCGGGTTCATAGGATAGGCTGGGTAGGATCAGCCACGTGTAGTCTAGGCGCGAAGCGCCCGATAGGATATCGACTCTGGTTCTTCGTAGACGATGAAGGGGACTACTTCAGCATTGTCAATTATGAACTCTTGATGTGTTTCTATTTGGTGAAACTCGCGATGCAATGCTGCTGCTGGTTCGATAGTCACGGCTATCTGGTCTCGTGTATATGATGCTGCTTGATTTAAGTCCGCTATCACTCATTTCCCTTCTTCTTCTTCTTCTTCTTCTTATTATTATTATTATTATTATTATTATTATTATTATTATTATTATTATTATCATTATTATTATTATTATTATCATTATTATTATTATTATTATCATTATTATTAGTAGTAGATGTACAGTAGGAATGGTGACGTAGCACCGGTGTGTAGGGGATCAAGGTCGTGAGAGATGTATGAGACTGACCTAGATTGATGCGTGCGGCATCGACCGCTATCTGCTCATAGTTAAGAAGAGTTGTTCACGTCATCACCGGCGTAGTAGTGTAGGCTAGGCAGGATCCGCCATTCGTAGTCTAGTCACCGAGCTCCAGATAGGATAATGACACTGATTCATTGATGATGATGATGGGGGTAGTCGCAAATCGGTTAGCAGAACTCGTGACACAATTCTGCTTTGATTCCAGATCATGACTATCTGATCTCACGGGTATAGTGCCGTTGGACTTCTGGAATCCGTTATTGCTCACTTTATCATTATTATTGTTATTATTATTATTTTATTATTACTATTATTATTATTACCTCGAATATTATTCTCAGTTTAGGAGAACGTGGCCCGGCCTGTTCACTGCACTACGTAGGAGTGAATAGCGTTCTGAGAAGTAGGCATGCATGTTTGTTTACTCTCACCCGATGACCTTGGCACTCGGTCCGCTTCGCTTTCGCTATCCACTATCGATCCGGGTGTGAGGGAGCGAAATGAGAGAGAGGGGAGAAAGTGGGAGAGAAAGAAAGAGTTGTGACTGAGACTTGACGATATAGGATCCAGGATCGACAATGGGATACAAACTTTGGACAGGGGTTATTTGAGACTTGTATCCCGACTTGGTGTTGACGACATTCCCAGCTCTCCCTCTTCTTCGACTCTTCCTTGCGGGGACTGACGCAATCATCCTGTGTGAGGGCCGGACTCTTTCACACTATGAAGCGATAATGATCTATGTCGGGGCTTCTTGCAATATTGATTGTTCGGATCATCGGTACCTAAGTATTCCACTACGCTATCTCGTACCTTGTTGAGTCTGGTTTTGTTTTTGATTTTTAAAAAATAATTTTAATGCTAGAAAATTAAAAATAAAAATATGGGGATGTAGAGAGCAAAACAATCTACACCTTCATGTTTTTTTATTTTTTTTTCACTTGTGTTTTACCTGCAAAAAAAAAATCCATGGGCCGAGTTGTGCCACGTTCAACTCGGTTTAACGCGGAGTTGCAACGGGAGTTGAATGGGAGTTGAACCGTTCAACTCAAAACCCCCGTTGAATCCAATTTCGGACACATAGCAAGCAAGGCCGGCACGCCGTTGCATTGCGAGTGTGCTGCGCTGCGCTGGGCTGAGAGGAGGCAGGCTGGTGCTAAGCAGTAGGGCGCAGCCTGGGCGCAAGGCGTTGGCAGCCATAGCCAGGCTGCATGAGGGTGCTGGAGAAGGTGAGGGCGAAGGTGGTTCTTTGAGAGGTGAAGGGCGCTGTGTGGGATAACAAGGGAGAGTGAGGGGCAAGAGAGAGTGACGTACCTGGTGGAAGAGGAGGTCGGCATCGGTGTTGACGTCATCACTAGCTGGTCGTCAAGTCGTCTGGTTGCTTCCATGACTGTAGTTGTAGGATAGGCTGTAGAGTAGATAGGGCGCCTGGCGCCATTCAAGACAGAGGGCTACTTCGGGTTATGTTGTTGGTGTTGCCCGATTGGGCTTGGACATTGACTCACGACTTTTGCTGTATCGTTCTCAAATGGATGGTTGCTTGGTTCCAATGTGTTATCTGCTCTTTCTTTGACTACTTGGACTTCACTGTGATTTGCAATTGGGATTTCTTTGCTTCGTCCAGATTCATGTTTCTTGCAGAATATTTATTTTTTTGGAATTTTCGACAACATTTCCCTACCCCCCATGGAGTCAAGAATGTGCCAAGGGAAAGGAGAGACCAAGATAAGCACACTAAGTTTCAAAATGCCGCAAATTCAAAAATTCAAAAAATATAAATAAATAAATAATAAAGAGATAAATAAATAAATAAATAAATAAATAAATAAATAATCAGATGATGCAAGGAAGATGAGCAATAGCGAACTTCAGCAATCAAACAGCATCATACATATGAAACCAGATAGTCGTGACCTCGAACCAACAACAAAATTGCATCACGAGTCTCACCAAATAAGAGCAACACCAAGAGTTCATAATTGGCCTCTGGGTGGTTCCTAGAAATCATCTGCAACTGGGTTCCCTGCTCCGCAGCAACGGCCTTCCACAACTCGCTAGTGTATCGGATATCCCTGTCACTGACTATGGATTTGGGCAAACCAAAATCTCCGTTCCAATTCTCTTTAAATAATTTGATTACGTACTCAGTTTTCGCAGTCTCCGGCATGGCTACTAACCTAGCATACTTACTAAATCTATCCACGATGACGAAGATGTGTCGCATCCCGCTCTTGCTGGTGACCAGAGTATCCATGAAGTCCATGGACAGACTCTCACCAGGCCTTTCCGGAATCGGAAGGGGCTTCAGGAGCCCAAGAGGAGCCTGAGTACGAGGCTTGTCCCTCTAACAGACCTGACATGTCTCCATGTACAGCTGGGCATCTCGCATCATCGTGGGCCACCAAAACCGCTGCAACAGGTTGGCTGCGGTCTTCTTGTACCCAAAATGGTCGGTGGCATCATGGCACTCGCCTGAAAACAAACTACGCAAAGACTCTCTATTTGGAACACACAATTGTTTATTCCCTGCCTTCTCAAGAAACAGCAAGCCGTTGACCAACTCGAACTTGGCAGAAGTCTTTTTGTCCTTCGCCGTTAGTCTGTGTGAGGATTGAGTCCTCAGAGGGGCCTAGCCGACATGCAGATGTTTTGGGCATAGGCCCCCAGCAAGCCTCGTGCCCGCCCTAAGTGAAGGCGGGCCAGATCTGTGACCGCCCTAAGTGAAGGCGGGCCAGCAAATCAACAAGAGCCCTTTGTGCAAACATTTCACGAAGTGGGGGTCCATACAGTTGTAGCACGCCAGTTGGTTGGAGTGCACCGAGTCTCGGACCTCTGCAAATGCAAAAATCCCAGGGCCTTTGAGTTGGTTAGGCCCTGGGCACATAAACGTGAGGCTGAAAATGCCAATGGGAAACCGACCCACTATCTGAATCTGGCCGCAGGCCTTGATGTAAGAGGCGCAACTGCATCTCCCGGGCCCCAACTGTATCGGGCCTGGGTTCAGGCACTGGGGCCCAGTCGCAGGTTGAAGGGAGGCCGCCCACACGCAACACTGGCATATAGGCAAGCAGGACGAGTGGGCAGGGATCTTGGGCAATGCTGGCATTGCGGGCACGCTGCGCGGATGCATGTGTGCTGCGCTGTGCAGAGCTGCGCTGCGCTAAGGTGAAGCACGCTAGCGCTAGGCGGTGGGGCGCTGCCTGCATGCAAGGCACTGGCGGCCATAGCCGGGCCTCATGAGGGTGCAGGAGAGGTGAAGGGCAAAGGTGGTTCTTCGGAGGTGAAGGGCGCTGTGTGGGTACAAGGGAGAGTGTGGGTGAAGAGGACACGTACCTGGTGGAGGTGGAGGTCGGCATTGGTGTTGACATCATCACTCGCTGGTAGTCAAGTTGTCTGGTTGCTTTCATTGCTGTAGTTGTAGGCTTTGTCTATAGAGTAGATAGGGCGCCTAGCGCCATTCACAAGAGAGAGCTACATTGGGTTATGCTGTTGGTGTTGTCCTGTTGGGCTTGGACATTGACTCACGATTCTTCTGTATCATTCTCAATTGGATGGTTACTCGGTTCCATTGTGCTATCTGCTCTGGGTTTGACTACTTGGACTTCAGTGTGATTTTGCATTCTGGATTTCTGTGTTTCGTCCATACTCATGTTCCTTGCATCTGCGTATGATCTCAGACATAAACTGGTCCTCGTGATAAGCTTCCACCAAAGAGCGAGTTACATCGTCCGTCAGGTCGAATTCAGTTATCAGCGCACCTGAGAAATCAGGTCTACGCGACAAGGCATCAGCAACCTTGTTGTACTCCCCTTTCAGATACTGCGGGTCAAAGTCATACTGCTCAATGACTTCGATCCAACGCTTTAGAGCGTCAGAGAGCACCGGTTGTGTTCTCATCCATCTCAAGGTCTGATGATCAGTCGTGAGGATGAAGAACCTCCCAAGGAGATAGTGCCTCCAATGGGTCAGAGCCTTGTACACCGCATAGAGTTCCTTCTCATAGGTGGACTTTGCCAACTTATGAGACGACATTTTCTTGGACATGTACTCGACTGGCCTCAACTTTGGCCCCTGCTGCTGCGCAAGCACCGCGCCAATGCCATATTGGCTGGCATCCGTGGTAACTACAAATGGCTTGTCAGGATCGGGAAGTTTTAAGACCGCATAGTGCGTCAACGCATGCTTCATATGTCTGAAAGCAGCCTCGCACTTGTCTGTCCACTCCCATGGGGTGTCAAGGTTGGTCAGATCTGTCAAAGGGGCGGCCACTATGCTATAGTTCTTATCGAAAGTCCTATAGTAGCCTGTCATCCCTAAGAAAGATCTCATCTTAGTCACAGACTGAGGACGTGGCCAATCACGAATGCTGGCCACCTTCGCGTCATCGGGCTTCAACCTTTCCGCGGAAATCTCATGACCCAAGTACAAGATACGGGTGCGGCCAAATTCGCACTTCTCACCATTAATCTTGAACTTGTGTTGACGAAGGAGACTGAGGACTTTATCTAGATGTGCCACGTGCTCCTCGACAGTCCTACTAAAGATAAGTATGTCATCGAGGTACACAATAACAAACTTGTCTAAGTAGTCATGAAAGATCCGATTCATAGCGTGCTTAAAGGTGCCAGGAGCATTGCACAGGCCAAATGGCATCACCACAAACTCGTACAGACCGTACCTGGTCTAAAAGGCGGTTTTGTGCTTATCCTCAGGCCGGATTGCAATATGATGGTACCCGGACTTCAGATCTATCTTACTGAAGTGCCGACACCCTTGCACTCTATCAAGCAAATCGTCGATGTGCGGTAGGGGCTCCCTGTTCTTCACTACGATGACATTGAGGCCCCTATAATCAATGCACATCCTCAAAGTGCCTCCCTTCTTTGGAATGAATAAGACTGGCGGGCGACCCATAAGGGGAGACACTCGGCCGGATCCAACCCTTCTCTATGAGTTCCTTGAGTTGGCGGCGAAGCTCATCAAGCTCGCCTGAAGACATCCTATAGATCCTACCCTTCTAGATGCTAGACCCTAGGATAATCTCTATAGCGTGGACGACCTCCCTCTCAACAACCCCTGTGGGCTCTTCAAATAGATCAGGGTATTTGGCAACTACTCCCTCTATCTCCGGCGGCGTTTTCACCGGCTCGACTGCAGCAGAGACGTAAACTAGATACATACCCTCCTCCTGATTTTGCTTATAATAATTATAGAATGCACTCGCACACATGCATCTGTGGGACTCAATTAGACTACTAGCTTTGAACTTATGTAATATGGCGGTCCCTCCACCTGGCAAAGTGTGTTTGACCACTTTTCGATCCCAATCGAACTGGGGTTGTGCAACCGAGATGTAGTACATACCTAACAAAATGTCCATGGGGAGATCGTCGCTCACCAGGAATGAGACACGATGCCTCAATTCCCCTCCCGCGTACGGGAACATGCACTCAACGTTGTGAGGAAACCCGGGGAGGGGTCATCTACCTCTCGTTGAAGCCATGGGCCACAACGCTTGTCACTCGCTGCGCCTGTTTTCGAGGTCCTCAGCGACCGGTAGGATTTTGTATCGATGATGGATGAGAATAATCCTGCCGCTGATTGAACGGTTTGTTTATTTAGCGGACCAGTATTTTGGAAGGTACGAGTCACGAGAATTAAAAATGCCCGCTGAAATTGGCAGACGTATCTCGAAGGCCCAAACTGGCGTACGGAGCATTAGTCAGCTCACGTATCCCAAAGCTGAAACTCGACAAATAATGGAATGAGCATCTCACATAATCCAGAGTAGGGAAAAGCATACACTAAGAGACTGGAAAATTCAGGAGCTCTGGTCAACGCACAACAAAAGCCCTTTTCAAATATCTTATCATCGTGGAAAAAACAATTTTTAAAATTTACTCTCTCACTTCAGTTGACTGCCCCCCCTTCCGTGTTACGACCTCTTTCACCACCATTACTCTTTCGTCTCCCTTTTCCCCTTCACTCGCTGTTCTCTTCCTCTCCTTTTCTCTCTTCCCCTTTCATCCTGTTCTCTCCCCTTGTGACTTCTCTCTATTGTCCTCGTTTCTACCCTCTTCCCTTTTTCCTGCAGAATAGGCCCGCTCGGTAGAGCTGACTTGCGAACAGGCAGATTTACACTTTCCGATATTATGCTCGGTTTGGGCGGTTCACAAGCAGACAAATTTGAGGGGGGGGCAACTTTCGAACAGATAGATTCAGAGTTTCGCATAACGCGCCCGGTTGGGCGGTTCTCAATCGGACAAATTAAAATTTCCAATAATGCCCCTGATTTGACTGATCGATATACGGACTGGTTCAGAGTTTCCAAAAATGCGCCCGATTGGGCCGATCGAAGTACTGACAAATTCTGAATTCCGAAAATGCCCTTTGATTGGGCTGTTTGAAATCCTAGCCGATTCAGAGTTCCAAAAATGCGCCCTGATTGGGCTGATCGAAGAACTGACAGATTCTGAATTCCGAAAATGCCCCCTGATTGTGCTGTTTAAAATCCTAGCCGACTTAGAGATTACAAAAATGCGTCTTGACTGGGCGGGTTGGTCACCAACCGAGTTGTCTACGTTCAAAACGTACGAAACCGCTGCGTAAACTTGTACACTTGTACACACGCCCTGGACCTCTCTACTCTCACTCAGTCTCTCTCTCCCTGTCGGACTCGGTCCTCCCTCTCTCTCTTTTTTTTTTTTTCTCTCTCTGTTTTTCTTGTTGTCTGTACCACTCGACTGCTCTCAATCTCTCTCTTTTCTCCCCGTTCTCTCATTGACACAAGCATACAAGGCATTCACCGTCCAGACTCGTGCTTGATTGGGATACGATTACCTTAGCTATCTGACTCGTAGTTGTTGGAAGAAACGATCACATGCTCGATTCAAAACCCGTCTTATATGCTGTTTGGAAACCGACGCGTCAGATCAGGCCCATGCCCCTGGTGGACAGCCACGCAGCCATCCGATGTCATCAATCATGATCACCAACAGTTCCCTTCTTCTCGGTGGTTACCAATCGATAAGCGGTCCTTCCCTAGCCCCGACATATCCCTGTGCGCAGCTCAGAGCACTCCAATACCGCACGCCTTTCAAGCCGAAGTGAGGGTTTCGACACACCAGTCGAACACGCAGTGCGCAGTCTCACCGTCCTTGTCATACTGTTGGTCCCAGTCACACAACGTAGCGCTGCGAACGCCGTGCGCACCAACCGAGCCCCTCCACGCTTCGCCCTACCGTGCATGAGTACCTGCTCCAATCTTCTCTGCAGGCGTGGGCGGCGTACACTTCACACACTCCTTCCGAACCGAGCCTTTCCCAAGCTGATTGAATTTTGCAGTGGGCGGCGTACACCTAGCACGCCTCCCCCTCTTCGTCGCGTCTCCTCTCTCATTTTCGCCAACCAGGCTGCTCGCCCTTCGTCTCTGAGTACCGGCGTGAGCTGGGTACGGCAGGTTTGCATGCCCACTGCGCATGCCACAACCCTGCTCCCCGCCCCTCGCGTTGACCTTACCCGCCTCTGATCTGACGAGGGCTGCGTACACCTTGCAAGCTGCGGGAGATTGCACCCCTCCGAATATCCCCTGCCAGACCAGTTGGTCTCGTTATATCCTCCGGGTACCAGAGGCCGTGGCCTCAAGAGACTGCTGGTTTACCCCACATTGGCTACAGCAGGCTTGGTACCAGGTCTGTGTGGCCTGCATTGGGAAAAATGGACCAAGCACCAGGCCCAGTGCGATCTGTATCAACAAAAATAGGCCTGGTAAATTCGTATAGCAAGTCCCGTACCAGGGAAAAACCCACGTGACTGCTACAAGCGGCCAGTGCCAAGAGAGTAGAGCGGAATGAACAAAGTCAAGTCGCAGTGTCTCTCATCATACCAGTTACCGAGCTTGGAAAGAAAACGAACAGGCCATAATACGCTGCCGCAGTACCTTGCCTGTGCCGTACCATTGGCCAATCTGCAGTGGTACCGTCGTCGAACTTGTCTAGAATTAGTATACCGTACCAAACTTGAACCAGCGTGACTAGACCGTCGTCGAACCAAATCCGTATCACTAGTCAACACAATAGTAGCAACAGGCTGTTGTGAGTCTCATCAATGTCGGACGGATGACCGTCTCAAAGGAAAAGTACCAAACCTCGGAATTCTGTCTCGGCGCCAAACCAGTGATCACACAAAATAGTAGTGACTCGTTGTTGCAACCCGATGTCGACATTAAACTAAAACCGAATCTGAGACACGTATCGAGCAGTGTCGTGCCAACGCCGAACCAACACCGAGCCTGAGGCAACTGTCCCGAACTGCAGTGGGCCGTACCGACGCCGAGTCATTACGGAACCTGAAACATGTCGATGTCGAGCCAATACCGAGCGTGATATTGATGCACTAGTCGGACAACCGTAGCACCAACCCCGCTGGCCATGCGACCTTGCTCTCGATACACTGAAACTGCAGTGAGCTCACTAATTAGGCAAATCGGGTAGGTCATGCAGTCGATCTCAATCATCGGGTCAGGATCAGAGTAAATAAATAATCTGGGGTCAGGATTCATTGCAAATGATTAAGATAAAAATTAGTCGAATACTAGATAATCGTTGTTTTCCTCCCCTTTTTTTATTTCTAATCATTTTCCTCATTTCTTAATTCCATTATCGAGAATAACGAAAATAACGCGGTTTCATCAAAAACGAATTCCGATGGAATTCAATTAAATGACGAAAATTCTTTGTTTTCTTTCCCTTTAATTGCTTTTTTTTTTTTTTTTTTTTTTAGTTATATTATCGAAAAAATCAGTAACTGAGGGCGGTCCCATTAAAAATTAGATATTGAAGATTTAAAATATTTCGTTTTTTTCCTTTTTTCTTTTGTTTTTAATTCTTTTTTCCATTTTTAATTTTAATATTAAATTTAATTAAATGTGGTGCCCTGCAGCGGGCCTTCATCTGCACTGGCCTACAGCCAGTGCCTATTTGGCTATTTGCCAGTTCGGTCTGTGGGACCAGGCCGTGGCCTGACCCCACAGGCCGTGTGATGTTCCAGTCCTGCCCGGTACCACTGTTGGTACCAGGCCTGTCCAGTCAGTCAGTCCGCTGGGGGTATACCCCAGCTGTAGTCTGTTTTTGATTCATTCTTCATTTGCACAGATTGGAGTACGTGCGTGTTGAGTCTGCGTTGGAGCTGCGCTGTCCTTTCCAACTCCATCTCCATCTCCCCCATCCTCATCCCTTCGTCTTGATCCTGACGGACCGCCATCCCGGCGGGTCCGTCACACT